CGCGAAAATATCACGATCACACGCATGTTATATCGATCGCGTTTATCGATAAAATGCGAAACGCGCAAGGGGCAGATTATGACACAATTCACTTTATAACACGTTAAATATTTCGTGAACGCACGCCGAGTATTTCGTGGCGATATAAACTGGCCATTACGCCAATCATACAAAGGCAAGTGCTCGCTGCTCCGTCGACTGTTTATTTTGGTAGCAGCGTCGAGCGCGATATAGCGCGGCTGTTGTGTTCATATGTTGTGTAAGTACACAAAGTTCCCGCGTACTATCATTCACCAGACGAGATTCGACCGAGGCAGGTATAGCGTTATAGCGCGCCGCGAACGTCGTGAATCGTCACGCAGTACGCACATCGTATTGTCCTCTGGAATGCGGCCGCGGGCGGCGCGGGCGCCGCGGCAACCTGATATAGGGGGGGATAGAGTGGGGGTAGGGTGACTCGACGGTGCGTGTTCGACGACGTGCGTAGTCAGCCTGCTCCTACTCCGTTCCGATCATTCGTGTTACCGGAGAAGCCCGCGGCTCCGTTCTGTCATTGCGCTATCACTATGCGCGTTATCATTCATCCGGCGAGACTCAAGCGAGGGAAGTAGTGGCACGGCCCTTTCCATATATCGCGTGATCTTTTAGAACGCGATCTCTCATCTCTCTTTCGATTATACATATTTGTCCCGATTATTTCAATAAATATCCGTTACTCACCCCGCACCCGTAATCGCCACCCTTCGCCTCTCCCTCTCCGCCGTTCAGTTACCGTTGTCGCTCTTTCTTTCGTAGCGTATTCACTTTCACTCGCGAATATACGCGGCATTTCTTATATTACTTTCGCGACGCGACGAGCACTTATTGTTATACCGCGACGCGGCGGACGAATTAACGCGAATAAAATACGAAGGATGCGAGAGGGAAGCTCGACGACTCGCTCGACGCTCGCAACGTTTCGCGAAATGGCGGAGAAATTAAGCTTGTGAATAATCGCGCGGCTAACTTCAGAGGCTCGACGACGTGCTCGCCGCCCGCGACGTTTCGCGAGGTCAACGGTCAACAGTCGAATTTGAAATGGCGGAGAAAGCACGTAAATCTCGCGGCTAGACTACAGAAGCAGCCACTCTCGCGTTTTACATGGCGATTATAATCTTGTGCGGTACGTGAGTAGATACACGAGAATGTGTTAAAATCGAGGACGAACATTAAATTCGCGTAACGGAATGCCCAAAACGACAGAAACATTCATATTCTATATATTGTGCGGGGAGGATACGCTTTGCCGATTGCTCGCGCGATTGATCCCGATGAAATATTCAACGTAGTACAAACGCGGAATCACGCGACGATCAAATATCAAGATGCGAGATGCGAGGCGAGGCGAGGCGAGGCGCATCAGAATCAACTACGAATAGCTTAGCTTGCTAATCGAATGCCACGCTTCTCGTCTCTCGATTTGGAGTAGATCCGTTCCGTGCTGTGACGTTCCATTAGCGACGACGACAAACATACGTTTGCAAATATAGTGCCGGAAACTTAACTCGATTACCGGAAACTTAGCGCGATACGGCGTGAGTGAAGTTAGTGGCCGGAGACGAGAGACGAGAGACGAGAGACATTATTGACCATCCGCGAACGTACGATCGTAACGTCGCGTCGCGTCGCGTCGCGTCGTGTTGTCGATATCGCGTTAATGACATTTTCGCGAGTGACAATTGCGAGTGAGTGTGCCATCAGGAAGCAACGAGAGAAGGAGCTGCAAGCTGAGAGGAGGAGCTGGAAGCTGAGAGGAGCCTGGAGCAGATCTGAGAGGCGTCGGGCGACGGCGACGGCAACGGCGGAGCGGTGAGTAATGTCTGTTTATTGCGTTATTGTTTAATGGTGGATTTTATTACCTTGAGATGTCTAACCTAACCGCAAATCGATTCGTCACCGCGATATCATTGTTTTTGGATGCGCGCTTAATGAAATCCATTGTTAGATTCGCGGCATATGAATAAAAAGATTAAAAAGAATGCGAATTTAATATTTTAAAACAAACTTTGTGATCGTATGTTTTAATTTGGATTTTCCACAAAGTGATTCCGTAGTGAGTTAATGGAAATTAACGATAGCAATGAAATGATAACTATAGCAGCGTGATTGCGATTATTTTCTGCATCAGTGATTTTATATTAAATATTTGTTTCAACATTTAATATCAAATTAATAAAGATATTAATTGTTTAGGGAAATTAATATCTTCATTAATTTGATATTAATTGTTTTAATTTTGATACATTCGTATGTTTTTGATTAGAATGTATGTTATTTATAATATTATAATACGTGTTCCACTGCTGCGCATTGAGTCGTGTGATTTGTGAATGTTAAATTATTTATTCTCATAATCTTTATACAATGGATTTTATTTCGCATAATTTTCTGAAAATTCTGCTATATGTATACTCTTCAAATATATACTTAACACATGAAAATATAAAATATTATTAGAAGAGCCGCGGAGAATTAAGAGTGTTAAATCGCTCTTTCTGACATTTTTTATGAAAAATTTTTAATTTATTATATTTAATAATATAAATGTAGCGGAAAATGAATTATTATTTATTCTTTCTTAATATCTAAATGAGTTATGCTTATAATTATCACGATATTTAAAAAATTAGAAATATATATTAAAAGCATATAAGAGACTATTATAGATAAACATAAGATTTCATAAATCTATTGCCTTTTCTTCTTTCTCTCGAAATGGATGGACTAATTGTAAAACTTGAAGTAAATTAATATATACATATATAGTACGCGCGAATGAGAAATTCAACAAATATTA